CTGGGGTCAAAGTTCAGAATCATGCATAGAACACTCCTATCTCTTCAGCAATGCAACTACAAGCTAATTTTACCTCCCAGATTGGAAAATGGCAGAAAAATGTCAGAAAACACATTTGCACAGTGGCTGGAAGGACAAGGTATTTCACAGTGTTGAAAGACAAGCGTGTCTGTGTCTCATTAGTGGGCTGTGGCGACAGCAAAACAACATGGAGCAACAATTCATCAGCTAACATGTTAGCTTCAGTGCTAACTAGCCCCCTGGTGGCTAACAACAGGCAGAAGAATGTCAGCGCTAAAAGCAGCTTTGAGCAGGCAGACATTTTTCACGAGGCATTTTCAGGTATGGGGCTCTTGAAATAAGCAATGATGAAATATGTGAAAAATAATTTATTTAAAAAGAGTCAAAGATGTGATGATTAGTAAAAAATGCAGATCTGAGGATCAGTACTAATGTCACATGATTCATTTAAAAATGTCATTTTTTTTTTATTTAATTAATGATATTTTGTATCTGCTAGAGTTAGAGTTATTCTGAAATGTTACAGACACAACAATTGGTGCAAACAGGGCTTGATTGGAAGATTTTATTGTTAATAGGTTCTTAAAAATGTTACAGAAGCTGTTAATAGTAATAAATAGTAATAAAAGGCATATTTTGAATGAATGTTACGAATGTGTTCATTTGTACAAAACAGTTAATAAAATATTTATAAATTATACAGAATTTCAAATGTTACTGATTGAGATTAACATAAAAGAAATGGTAATTTATGTTTAAATATCAGTTTTCTGCTGTAATAAATCATCCATTATGTCCGCTTTGTTTGGGACTGGAGCCAATCTCCACTGCTTTTGAGTGAAGGCAGGAGACAGCCAGGACAGGTCTCCAGTCCATCACAGAGACACAGACAAAGAGACAAACAACCAGCCACACTCCCAGTCATAGCTAGGAACAATTTACAGTCAGACAGAAGAGCCAAAAAAAGGGATTCAAACTGAGTACTCAAGTTCTCGATTGAGAGTCCTAATCACTAATTATGAATAATAATTTATCACATGCTAAATCCTTCCTGATAATCATTGTGAGGAGTCTTTAATAATACAGATCAGATCAGATGTGATCAGGCAGTCACATATTCATATGTGTGTAAATATATTATTATTAATACTATAATTAAAGGTGAGCCATGCAAATTTGTTTGTATTAAACAAGTAGCCCTTCGTGTCACTCGGTCCCACTGAAGTAGCTCTCCGTCTCAAAAAGGTTGGTGACCCCTGTCCTAGAGTATCTGTGGGGGATGGTCCTGAAGCACCACCTCCAAGTGTCTTAGTTGGGATTGGACCTCACCACCTCCTAGTTTCTGTAGGGGTTGTCCCGACACCCCACTTCCGAGAGTCTCTATGGGGGTTGGCTCAGACTCCTCACTACCTTTCAGTATCTCAGTGAGAGTCAGCCATTATGCCTCTTACCGTTCCTACGAGAGGGTCCAGGAGGATGCCTCTCATCCCTCACCTCTAGAGGGATGCCTATTCTGGTAAGTTCCACTCCTCATGAGGGTTCCATGCCTGGTGAGGGTTCCATAACTCATGAGGGTTCTATGCCACTCTGAGGGTTCCACGCCTCTCCTTGAGGATTCCACCCTGCTCCTTGAGGGTTCCACGCCACTCCCTGAGAATTCCATCTGCTTCCTGGGGGTTCCACGCCACTCCCTGAGGGCACCATGCTGTTTCTTGATGGGTCCATGCCGTTTGAGGTGGCTACATCTCCTGATATGGCTACATCTGGAGTCTCCTCAATGCCTACTGCAGCTCCCAAGATCTCAACATCTACGGTAGCTCCTGAGGTCTCAATGTCTACTGCAACCTCAAGATCTCAACATCTACTGCAACCCCACCCAAGGTCTCAACGTCTATTGCAGCCTTCGAGGTCTCAACATCTACTGCAGCCCCCGAGTTTTCAATGTCTACTACAGTCCCCGAGGTCTCAACATCTACTGCAGCCCCCAAGGTCCCCATGACAGCTGCAGTCCCCAAGGTCCCCATGTCTACTGCAGCCACAGAGGTCTCTACTGCAATTGCAGCCTCAGATGTCTCCATAGCAACTGCAGCCACAGTGGTCTCCACAGCAATTGCAGCCACAAAGTTCTCCACAGCAACTGCAGCCACATAGGTTTCTATAGCAACTGCAGCTGCCGAGGTCTCCACAACAACTGTAGCCACATAGGTCTCCACAGCAACTGCAGTCACAGAGGTCTCCACAGCAACTGCAGGTCTCCATGACAGCTTCAGCTCCTGAGCATTCCATGACAGCTGCAGAACTCATGGTTCCCCACTCCCTTTTCCCTGTGCTGGGCAGTCATGGTCTCAGGGTGTCCATCACAATCGGCTGCCCATAGGACCTGCTACCATGTGCTGGACAGCCCCCCAGTTGCCCACCTGAACTGTTACTATGTGCTAGATGGCCACCTGGCTGCCTGCCTGTGCTGTTGTCACATGTTGGATGGTACCCTGACTGTCTATCTGAACATTTTTGTTTTGTTACCTGAGTTTCCCCTATATCTAGTTTCCAGGTTCTACCTGTCGGTTTTTGGTTTCTATCTCATGTTTTTCCCTTGTGCCCTCTGACCTGTTGCTTCCCCCTTCCTCCCACCCAACTTTGGGGTGGTGGTCTTGGGACATCAGAGGACTTCCTTGTGGGAGGAGGTACTGTAGGGATTGTGTTTTTCTGGTGTCTGTCTTCCTCTGGTGTTTTTGTCTTAGTCCTGCTCTCCTGCTGTAATTAGTTACCCTCCTGGCACCTGTTTGTGCTTCCCAGCTTTTTCTGTTTTACCGTAATTAGTGTCAGGTATTTAAACTTGCATTTCCCTGTCCTGGGCTGCCGATCATTGTCTGGGTTCTCCTGTGATGGCAAGCCTTTCCCTAGTGATCTTCTATGTATTCTCCTTTCAAGTAAGTTTTGCTGTCATGTCAGCATTTTGTTTTGTTAAAAAATTTTTTTACTCGACTGAGTCTCTTGCAGTCCACCTGCACCATTGGCTCTGATCCTGCAAAACCAGTGCACTCTCATACACCAGTCAGCCTAACATGCATTTATTTACATATTTGAAGGACCTTACTTTTACCTAGGGCTGTATACCGAATTGAGGTTCTTTTGTAGCACTGACCGAACTGCGTTTGTCAGTGTATGGATAGAAACGTCACTCTTTTTTTGCTGTCAAGTTTCTGTATTGGCTGTAACGTGTCACGTTGTTTCATCACGCCGGCAGGACATATGACAAACAGACTATGTATTTACACCCATAGCTGTGTAGAGCTGCCCTACAGCTTTGTATGTCTATGGTGCTGGTTACGCCCACAGACGGGGTTCACGTTTGCAGCGCGTGTGTTGTCGAACGGCTTCGACAACACACGCAACTTTCTGCTTACGAGCAGAAAGTTACTCCGTGTTTTTCTGGAAGGAGAGATAATGACAGCAGCCTCCCCCTCCTCTCAGCATTAAAGTCAGCCTGTGTGTGTTAGAGAGAATGAACGGACTGATTCATTATCTCCACGACCAGACTCCTCTTCATCAAAGAACTCCGAGGACGGAGCTGTGTCTGGGATTTCAGCTGGTAAGTTTACGTTTGTTAACGTTACTGCAGCTTAATACGTACATCGCTGAGAGTTAAACTTGGATCCATGTAACGTTAACTTAAAGATATTAGTGTGTAAATTTATTTTATCTACGTAGCTAGCTAAACTCAGAAGCTAACTAAAGATTGACAGTAACAGATGACGCTTATCTTCTAAAATTGTGCTCTTCCATTGGGTCAGCTGGTTAAACAGTTCAGCTAATGTTCACCGTTTGTTTATGTTCTCCTCCCAGGAGCCTCTGACCCTGATTTGAGGACAGAGGCAGACAAAAGAAAAGCGAGGTGGGGGCCACAGGACAGTCACAAACTTTGTTGTTAAAAATTTGCTGCTTTTGACTACAGTGGAGGCTGCATGGTGGAAGTAAGTAAACTTTAAAGGATGTTGTTGACCAGTTAAGCTTTTATTTCTCAGCCTAGATAATGGTTTTTGAGCAATAATAACACAACCATGTTATCGTTGATGTTTTGTGTTCTAATGCCAATTAGAGAGATGATAAGAGCCCTAAATCCCAGAGAACCACAGAGAAGATTCAGGAAGAGACACAGAGGTACAGAAGTCTGCATCAACCCTAACTTCAGTGAATCCAGTGACCTGCTGGTGGAATGTGAGGGACAATATGTCAGTGCTATCAAACTGACAACCAGGTATCTGTGTGTGCAACAAGCATCATCTACACCCTCCGAGTGAACATTTCTTACTGCTGGAGACACCATCAGCCAGGAGCGGGTTTGTTTGTGTCCAGAGAAAGCAGACATGTTGATTCTGAAGAAAAACTGTTAAGTGAAAAGGTCCTCAGTGTGTAGCAGTTAACATTAGACACTGACGTGTCACTTGTTGTTTGCAACTGTTCTTTTTACCTGGAAATTATTTGTTTATTTTAATGTAAGAAAACTGCTTGGAATAGAAAAATACCAAAGTTAAAAAAATAAAACTCACAATTTGTACTGTAATGTGTAATGTAATTTTATTCTTGTTAGAATTAATAGTAATTACAAAATTGATACAGAAAAAAGAACCATCCAGGAACCGACACCGAAGTGAAGGTACCGACACTGGTACTGATACCAATTTTTTAGAAAGGTACCCAGCCCTACTTTTACCTATGGATTTTCATGTTTACACTGGGGTCCACTGGGGTCTGACACCGCTTCAAAACAGTGTCTTGTGTTTCCTTGGTGGAGCTGAAGAATACTCACCATAATGATTAGGATCATTATGAAACAATGTTAATTAGCTTAAGAAGATTTTTCAAATTATTTGTAACAATTGTGAATAATACTTCCCAAATGTTAAACTGTCCAGTCTAGAGCACAGAACAGTTGTGCTATTATCTGATTGTGGTTTTGGTTTTCTCTCACTGATCAGATGTTAAGGAGCTTGAAGACTGCAAGTTTGTAGAGAGTGTTCAGGAGCAGATTGAAGGTGCCCTGCTGGAATACACCCTGACCACCTCGCCTCAGTCCTTCGGACGTTTCACTCATCTACTGTTGTGTCTGTCGGATCTGCGCTCCCTCAGCGCTCTTGTTGAAGACTACCTGTATTGCAGACACCTGAGTGGGGAAGTGCCCTGCAACAACCTGCTCAATGAGATGCTCCAATCAAAGCAAAGCACAGCTGGACATGAAAAGTCATCTGGACTTTATATGGAAGCCATGAGCTCAGAATAAGGCTAAATGTCGTTTATAAGACTGTCTCTGATTATATTCTGTGCTTTAAGACAGCAATATAACTTTTTTTGTTTTCTTTCGGCTGCTTCCTGCATTATGGGTCGCCACAGCGAACTAAGTCGCACGAAGACTTGGCAGTTATTTTTACACCGGATGCCCTTCCTGACGCAACCACAGGCCACTGAGCTACCACAGCGCTCATTGTGGAGCAGAGAGCTGCCATCTAGGACACCCAGAGGAGCAGATGGTGGGGGTTAAGGGCCTTGCTCAAGGGCCCAGAGTGGGACGAATGAAGGTGGGGGCAGGTATGGGTGCTTCACCTACCCCACCCACATGTTTGATGTCGGTACCGGGGCTTGAACCAGCGATTTTCCGATCACAGACCCACCTTCTCTAACTTCTGTGCCACCACTCCCCCAAGACAGCAATATAACATAAATGTGCAAAATAAAAATAAAAAAATTGTAGTGAAAGGTAGGCATACCTATGTATGGATACATAAATAGGACAGAATCATTTTTTCTGTGATCACTGATTAATCAGAAAACCAGCAGAATTATTTTTTAGTGTTTCTAACAAAATAATGAATTAATATGTTAATAACAAAACATGAGGCAAAAATTTATGAAATGCTGTATCAATATGCTCATAAAGTCAGAGTCAGAGTTTCTTTATTGTCATTCGCATCTCATGTGGTACATGTGGTGGAGCGAAATTATGTACACGGAGTCCCAAAAATAAACTGATACATTTTAGTGAAGCACAAACCCAAAGCAGTGTCAATGAACACTGATTTACAATTTACCCCTGGCAGGACAGCTGTTTGAATTATATTCATTTCAATAAACATTAAAATGATTTTAACAAGCAGCAGTCATTAATAAAGCAAATAATAAAAAATAAAAACTTCTAATGGAAATAAATGAAGCAAAAGTATATTTCCATTCTTCCCACCTGAAACCCAAAACTCACTTTTTTAAAAATCCCAATACAGAAATATAAATTGAGTTTTAAGATTTGGGCTGCTGACTTTCTTTTAACTTTCCAACTTTCTAAATTTGAAATATATTTATGGATATATTTAGAGTTTTTTTTTTCACTTAGATTT